CTGCCCAGGATCTGACCAAAGAGTCCCAAAAGTAAGGCGGCCTGGCTAGGGGCCTTATATCTTCTTGGATTCCGTTTCCGCCCCCCAATCCTTTCCAATGCCCCTACCAAGCTCTCTCCTTTCCCAAGATATCCCCTTCTGCATCCCTTGTCAAGCTCTTGCTCTCCCATCGCACCCACACAGCGTTGTTCTTTTTGTCTGCACTGCGCAGGGGACGCCGGCAGGTTCTACCTGGCTCCGCTAGGGGGCATAGCCAAGCTGCTCTGCCCTCTCCCGCTCTCGTCTGTCACGGTGCTCCCGGAGGTGCGGTGGCTGCGGTCCTCGCCCTGGGGACGCTCGCAGGCAGTTCACGTGTTCCGGGATGGGAAAAACCGCGAGGAAGATGTGATGCCAGAATATAAGGGGAGGACGGCGCTGGTGAGAGACGACCGAGAGGGAAGTGTCACACTGGAGATCCGCGACGTCCAGCTGGAGGACCAAGGGCCATACCGATGTCAGGTCCAGATTGGAAACCTCAGTCGAGAGGGCACCGTGATCCTACAGATTGCAAGTTAGCCATTTTTCAAAGGGGTCTGAATTATGGGACAGGGATTATTATCGCACCATTTTGCAGATGGCAAGCCAGGCTTGGAAAGGCTCTATCTCCTGCTTAGGGTCCCACGGTGGATGAGCGAGGACTCACACCCGGCATAGACTCTTCATCATTTGTCATAATGCCTCTTCTGCCCTTTTTTCTTCTCTATTTCTTCTTTCCTTTCTCCTTTCTCCCCTGCCTAGGCTTTAGACCTGTGCTGTAGCAGGGCAGAGAGGTTGTTGACTGCTGTTCCACTGCAGAGTGAGGATTTGAAGGGGGAGGCAGGTGTTGCTCATGAGAAAACTACAAGTGACTATTGAGGAAGCTCCTCCAGCTCTCCAAAGAACCTGGATAATTTTTCCACCGAATTATAGGGCAGGATGAAGTCGTGATTGAGAAGCTGAGTTTAACCTATTGTCTTCAGGCAGGACCAATGAAACCATTCCCGAGAGATGAACATCTCATTTTAAAGTCATCCCTGGGTCATCCGGGGTTTGAGTTTCTGAGAGAAGCAAAGAGCCTCGCCAATCTTGGCTGGAGTTCTCTCCCTAGAGGTGATGGAGACAGTTGGGATGTGTCTGAGCCATCTTCTATCTGAAGTGCGACCCTTGGCCTGAGAGAAGCTCTGAGATGTCTCCTGAGGGTTGTCATTGGTGGTTTCGTTTCAGCCCCATCTCCAGGAAGGATCTCCTCCTCAGCATTGGCTCTTGCTGTGATCCTGCCTGTCCTGGGGCTTCTCATTGTCCTGGGCATTTGCCTCATCTGGAAGCAAAGAAGATCAAAAGGTAACTAAGTGGTAAGGGAGCCCGGGCTGGCAGGAAGTGGGACTGCAGCTTCTCTAGGAAAAGGCCGGGAGGAAGGACACATTGACATGATGGTTATCCATAGGCTGGAGACCCTGCAAGTTGGCTGGGAGACAACTGGTAGAGCCAAGCTCTGGAGACTCATAATTCAGAGAGGATCAAAGAAACTGCAGAAAGCTCATGGGAGGAGCTATGAATTCTCCTCTTTTGAACAATTAAAAATAACTGATCATGCCAGTCTTCTAATTAATTTAAGAAATCCAGTTTTATACATTGGATAAATATGACTGCATTTCGCAGGATCTCAAGGTTGCACAGCACCTTGAAAGATACATATTCCGGACACTCCTATCTCTATCTGATGGTTTGAAGACCCTCTAATCCTTTCAAATGGCCGCACATCCACAGTGACAAGGAACAAAATCCTACTCAGGCAGCTCGTCCTCAGACAACTCCGCCTGTTGGAAAAAGCCTTTCTTTAAGCTGAGCTGACATCTCTCTCTCTCTCTCCCTTCCAGAGAGGCTTCTCTATGAACAGGTGATGGAGGTAGGTAAGTGTCCTGGGATGGGTAGGGATGTTTCTCTGTTTTGCTCATTTTTGTGTCCCCAGAGCTCACTAATCTAAATTCCATAATTGAAAATTCTAACATCTGCTGCTTTGGGTGGCAGTGGTGGTGGTGAGGCTCTATACCTGTTGTTTCCAGTCCTTGCTGACTCTTACTTATAATAGTTTACCTTATAATAGTTTACCTTACAGTATGTCTGTGAACTCACTGCTTGGTCTTATTTTGTGGGAGTCATGTAGATCTAACATGGGAGAAGTCTTTATTCATTCAATAAATAATTGATAATTATCTCCTAAATGCCCTGGACTATACTAGATGCTGGGGACACAATGGTAAATAAAAGTGGACACAGCCTTTGCCATTCTGGAGCTTTCAGTCCAGTCAGGGAGGTATATATGAATTAAGTAATTATACAAATAAATGTCAAACTATGACTGTACAAATGGAAGTTCTGGGAGCTGGGAAGACTCTGACCAGGAGGAGCCAACCAAGTTTCAGAGATGGTAGAGGAGTCCCCAGAGAAAGTGATTTTTGATCTGGAAAACAGGTAGGCATGGGGGAAGAGGGAACAGAAAACCATCCACAGCAGAAAGAACAGCTTGAGAAAGAAACACAGTGCAGGAGAGAGGGGGAAGGTGACAGGGGACAATGAAACTGCAGAGTTAATCAAGGGCCAGGCCACGTGAGGCCTTGTAGATCACATGAAGGATTTTAGTCTTTCTCCTTAGGGCAGTGGTGAAGCAGTGAGAGAGGAAATCTCTATCGGAATTGTGGTTTGAGAAGCTCTCTCTGGCTGCAGTGTTAAGAGACCAGAAGGAGCAAGACAGGATGTGGGGACAATTTGGGTCACTATTTCTGTCATTCAGATGAGAGATGATGAGGGCTTGGATCAGGGAGGTGGAGGTGGCGATAGAGGTGGACAAGCTCAAGAGCAAGTAAAATCAGTAGGAATTAAGGATCTTCAAGGTAATGACATAGAATTTCATCTTATTTTGCTTTTCTCCCTCTAGAAAATCTTCTCGCAGATCATGCGAAAGAAAAAGGTAATTATATGTATAGAATAGGGAATAAGGTGTAGGGGATATATAACATCTTTCTCCTACATAAATGCTGACAGTCTATTATTATGTGTACATTATATATGTATACACAGATATCCTCCCTTAATATTATTAGAATTTATCTTTTAATATGAAGGAGCTCTAGAGTTGGTGGCAATGGGTGAGGGGATGCTCGTGGTAAAAATTGATAGGTCTGGATTATCTAAGCTCCTTTCATTAGCTCCACCAATCATTAAAAAGACAGTCTATGTTCTATCTAAAAATATGAATATAGTCATATGTAATGTATGAGAATCTCAAAGATCTATATGGAAGTTGCATTGAGACAGGCAGGGTAATACAATGAGAGCATCACAGGCTCTGGAATCAGTGACACCTGGCTCAGATCATGGGTCTGCCACTTACCGACCTTGGATAAGTTTCTTTACTGGTCTGAGCTTTGCTTTGCTCATCTGTAAAACAGGATTAATAAATCTCTTCACCTGATTGCTTTCAGGATTAAAAGAGACAAGTTAAAAAAAAACAAAACCCCAACTTCTATTACAGTGTCTGGAACTCCTTACCCTTATTGACATTTCTCCTTCATTAATGGAATATTTGCTCTGGGCCACGGAGGGTAAAAGTTAGACAGGGTACAGAAATACAGGGCCTCTGCCTTTTGAAAATCTAACAGGGAGGATAAGTTGATGGTTCAGAAATGGTTCCACACGCAGTGATTTTGGCATCTCCTCTCTTCTTCCCTTTATGTCTCTTTCCAGCGGGTGAAAGTGTGGGGGTGCACATTTCAGGGACACCGTGGCTGTTCTGTCCAGGAGTAGAAGGCATAGTGTGTTACAGAGGTGAAGGCCTCTGACTAGGAGTCAGACAGACTTGGGCTTGAATCCTGCTTCCTTGGTTACTTACTACTTGAGTGGCCTGGGCAAATTTCTATGTCCCTCTGAGTCTCAGACCACCACTCTGCAGAATGGGCATAATAATCATATGCACCTCACATTGTTGAGAGGATTCAGTGCTTACTTTGTTATAAGAACAGGACACAATAAATAAAGGCTATTGGTAGTGGGAATAGTAAAAAAGAAACTATAAGCCCCTACTCAGCTTCACTGCCCCAGTGCCTAATGCCTAACACATGCCCAGCCTTTAGCACATGGCCTGGCAGTGGACTCAAATATATAACTTCAGTTATCTGGCATTGCCAGGGCTAAGGGAAAATGTGGGCCCGATGTCGCCTCCAGAGAAGCCACAAGTACTCCCTCGAAGCATATGAAGCATTTGGAGACACATATGTCTCCAAACCTTCTGGAATCTCCACATCAGTGACTCTCTCAGGGGAGTTACTGCAGAGAATAATAAAGTTGTGTCAACAAGTCAATGCCAGCCAGGCCGTTAGCTAATTTTCACTGCAGATATTATAAACAGTAGGCTATAAAAGGACAGCAAGGCATACACGATGTACACATAGTTACAAGTGTTTCTGTACATTTGTACAGAAACCAGGCAAATGAAACCAGGCAAAAAGGAAGGGAAGAGGAAGGCGGAACCATAGACCCAGGCAGTCTGGTCCTTGGGAAAGTGGCACCAGCACTACTGGATTCCCCGGTCTGCCCTTTGGGTGCTGTGACTGGATCAGCAGCTGACAGGAACGTCATCCTTTCCACTGTGGGTGCGGGGAACGGAGTGACAAGATGATCCTTCCTGGGTTCAGGGATAAAGCAGACATCTGCTCACTCGTGCCTCTTTCTGTTTTTTAGGAAGGCTCCATAATGCCCTCAGTAAGTTCTGCTGCTCATCTGTGACACAAACCTCCGCCTGCCGACATCTTTGCTTTAGGATGGGTGTCTCAGTTTTACTTCCTGGGGCAGAAGGGAAGGGGCAAGGGTACTTCAAGCTGTGGGGTTGGGGATTTCTTGGCTCTCAAAAGCCTCTTTTCTCCACTGTTCCCTGGTTCTTTCTTGCATAACTCATACCTAGTCTCTAAATGGGAAATGTTTAACCAAGAAGAGATGTAGCTCCCGTAGATAAAGCCATCTGGAAGACCCTTTTATCGCCAGGCATGTAGTTCCCTTAGGTGGGGTCTAAGGTGGATGGATCCTCATTAAACCGAAAATGTGGAGCGGTGACTTCACCATCTCAAGTATGAGAACCTCTTTATAACAACAGCAAAAAAAAATATTCAACCATCTGACATGTCTATTTTATTTTACATCGGGAAAATATATATGAGGAAATAGAAATTCAGTGATAGTTTTAAATGAATTTATATTTTAATCTTCTCACAACATCTGCATATGATATGTTGTCATTGCCTAGATGTGTGAGATGTGTTGTTTGTTCAGTCTGTAGGTCAGGTTTGGCTCACTTAGCAATTGCTGACCCTCTGTAGTATCACTGGGGACCCTGAGTGCACGGCTGGCAGCCATTGCTGTTGCAAGCGCTGTCATGGGGAAGTTCAGGACACGACTAGTGAGGAACTGATATGGGAATTTGGTTGGGATGGGTGTGTAGCATTATGGGAATGTGGAAGCCCTCGTTCTCATTTGTCAAACTTTTTATTCTTTAGAGAAACTCCGGAGTGAACTGAGTAAGTTTTCCATTTTCTTATAACCTCCATACCAACTTCTCTCCTGTTGATTCTGTATTTCCAGTGATAGCTCACACCCCTTGTTTCTTTTTTTTATAGAGTTGAAAAGAGCTGCAGCCAACTCAGGTGAGATGCACTGTCCCCGGGATTGACCCACAGCCTCTGGGAGTTCTCCATTTCGTCATTGCTTTAACAATCCTTTTATAATGTCTTTTAGGCTGGAGAAGGGCCCGGCTGCACTTTGGTAAGTTACACCAGTCAAATCGATCCACATATCAGAGCTCAGTGCTCTGTGCCTTTGGGATGCAGACTTTCTTTTATTTTTATTAAGCCTGTTTATCTGCTTATTAAAAATTTTTAAATCTTTGTGACTGTTTTGGAGAGGTCACATTTATATTTAGAAAATCTCTCCTCTTTAAGAACACTGATATTCAGTTTAGTCTTCCTATGGGTTTTCTATGATTTTTCTTAGGTTTATTGGTTACTTGTATTTCTTTTTGTCTGCTCCTGTCCTATTGCAGCTACTTTTTGATTTATGTTTTGATTTATATATAAAATGTCTAGAAATTCTTTGTTTTATTTGTCACAAATTATTTTTCTGTGTTCTTTTGCGTTTTAATTTCCTTATATAATTTTTTATGACACATGAGTGTTTTACCTTTATGTAGTCATATTTATTCATCTTGTCCAGTGTAGTGCCTTCTGTGCTTTAAGGTTTGGAAAGTCTTTCTTGTCCCATGGTTGGGTAAAGAGTCAGTGCCCCTGTCTGTCTACACGCCTGCCACATTCTTCTTTCTCTGAAGATCAGTTTTATTGGGGGTTAGTGATTGAGATGCCCCAACAATGTAGACTACAGACATTTTTAGAGTTTTATTTTAAAAGATTTGCATATCTCTTTTTCAATTTATTCCTAAATAATTTGCATTTTATTGCTGCTCTTTGAATGAGATGTGTTGTTTTCACTGCTTTGGAGTCCTTATCAATTTTTCAGGCTGCTCATCCCCCTTTTGTTCACACTGTTTTCCTTCAGGCAGGTACAATAGAATTGATGAGTTGGCCACTTGAGAGAACACCAGGTCACCTTGGTTGGCATTCTGGGGTTTCGCAAACCCTTCTCACACTCAGTCTGGCTTACTCCCACCACCTTAGCAAGTACACATTTCATCGACTTAGCTCTCCAAGAAGAGCCTGTTTTCTATACTGGGCGAAGGAGCGAGACTCGCTATAACCTTCCTAATCCACGATCTGAAGGAAGACTCCTCTCTCTATTAACATTTAAAAACAATAATTATAAGCAATAATTTTAGCTAACAAAATGAGCATAACACACTGACTATGAACAAGGCACTATCTCATGCATTAGCTCATCAAATGTGCACAAAAGCTCTACAATGCAGGAGCTATTTTTCTCATTTTACAGATGAAGAAACTAAGGTTTGGAGATGAATAACAAGCCCAAAGTCATATAACTAGCATGTGGCAGAGTTGGGACTCAAATTTCCAATGTGGTTTCTGGGTCTAACATCAGACTGACGTGTATTATCATACATTAAATTCCTTTGGACCATCGAAGACAAAAGCAGTATTTCCTAAGGATTCTTCACAGATGAAAAACTTTCTCCTCTTTAACTTAATACATGACCAGGAAATCTAGGAGAGCAGAAGACACTTTTCTTTGGTTCTAGTATATAAGGGAAAGGGAGAACCATGAACTAAGATGGGCCAATGACAGGGGTTGCAGACCCAGAGATTAGTTTTCCCTCCAAAGCTACCCAAAGATCCCATAAGAGCTAGCCTTCCCAAACCTCACCTCTCTGCGCTTCTCTGCAGTGACAGTGACCTTGGACCCCGACACAGCACATCCTAAACTCATCTTGTCTGAGGACTGCAGATGTGTGAAGCTTGGAGACAGAAGGCAGCCTGTGCTGGACAACCCCCAGAGATTTGATTTCGTTGTCAGCGTCCTGGGCTCCGAGTGCTTCATGGCTGGTTGTCACTACTGGGAGGTGTATGTGGGAGACAAGACCAAATGGATCCTGGGGGTGTGTAGTGAGTCAGTGAGCAGGAAGGGGAAGGTCACCGCCTCGCCTGCCAACGGACACTGGCTTGTGCGACGGAGTCGTGGGAACGAATATGAAGCTCTCACATCCCCACAGACCTCATTCCGCTTGAAAGAGCCCCCGTGCTGTGTGGGGATTTTCCTGGACTATGAAGCAGGAGTCATCTCCTTCTACAATGTGACTGACAAATCCCACATCTTTACTTTCACTCACACGTTCTCGGGCCCCCTTCGTCCTTTCTTTGAACCTTGCCTTCATGATGGAGGGAAAAACATGGCACCTTTAATCATCTGTTCAGAACTCCAGAAAGCAGAGAAATCAACTGTCCCCAAGCCAAAAGAAAAAGGCCATGCTAATGGAGATGTGGCCCTGAAGGTGGACTCTTCCTTACTGCCCCCTCAGGCACTGAATGTGTCCTGGCCTCCTGACCTTGGCCCGGCCCTCCAGGGGCTCAAAGTTCCTTATTTTTAGGGAGATTCCTTATTACCTGCTCCCTTGACCAACCAGCCCAGTGCTCTGGATTTTAGTCTCCTGGTCCAACACTGGATTCTGGAACATTTTATCACCTTTCCCTGAATCCAGAACCTTTTGTGGTTTCTATTTGTACCACCTTTCTCCCAGGGCTCAGTTCTAAATCTTATCTCCTCCTGGTCACTTGCCACTTGCCCTGGAAGAAGTCTTGAAAACCAAATGAATAGTCAGATTAGGTTTACGTGGTAATGTTGAATGTGTGTCACTGAAATCCAGGGGTTCTCTATTCAAGGGGTTATGTAGAAGGACTTCATCCCACCTCATCCTGCACTTAGGCCTTTAGTCATGAAGTTATGGGGCCCAGTCCCTGAATCCTTACTTATATCATCAAGAATTGCTTTTCTCCTTTTCTCAGTTCAGGCCTCTAGCTCCTAAAGCCATCTTTTTTCAAATGAACATATTTTGGATCACGCTCTCTTCCTTCTTCCTTCTGGAATATAGTATGGGGGCAGGGCAGAGGGGTAAAACATACCATCTTTTATTTCCTTGATGCTGTGCTAATGTACATGTTTTCAAAGCTAATTTACCTATTGATAATAACCAGAAACAGAACTTTAAATGTGGTAGCCGCAACCTTGAAAAGCCTCAGGAGTACAATCAGGGAGCTGGGAAGCACAGCTTCAAACACAGCAGCTCAGCTGTGTGTGGCCTTGAAAAGACAGCTACGGATGAGTCAGTTTGTTGCACTGGCCCTTTTGAATCCTCCCTAGGATTCGGAGAGGCCCAGCTTAAAAAAAAGTGGCAGTTTTAACCAGCAATGTAGGCACTTTTTTTTCTTCCATAACACATTACGCTGAAAGACTTGACTATTTGTGTAGCAAACGGACTCTTTGTGTAGCAAACAGGTCAGAGAATATTGATTTCAAATAGAAAGTTGATAGACCAGGTGTGAAAATAAATAATGAAACTGATTTTTTGGTGTGGATTGCAGAGAGAAACCTAGTCACTTTCAAGTCACACCACATATGTGATCTGGCTTCTTTTTGAAGATATTGGCTATCAGTTTGCAGATAGGTACTTGGTTCTACCCAACAGAAACTGGATCTTTTTGTCTGTCAGTTCTTTCTATTACTTTGTTAGTGCCTGTATTAGTCAGGATTCTCCAGAGAAACAGAGAAAAACTATATATCCTGGTTCTCAAGAGGTTATAAGGAATTCGGTCCTATGATTAGGGAGGCTGGCAGGTCCCAAGATCTGCAGGGTTAGTCCCCAGGGGAGCCCATAGTTTAGTTGCTGTCTGAGTGTGGAGGCCCAAGACACAGAGTGCCTATGGTGTGATTCCAGTTTGAAATCTGACAGGCTTGAGACCCAGGAAGAACCAATATTTCAGTTTTAGTCTGAAAGAAAGAAAAAAGTCTGAAGAGTGTCAAGTAGGAAGAATTTTCTCTTCCTAGGGGGAGGGTCAAGCCTTCAACTGATTGGATAAGGCCCACCAATGTTAAGGAGGGCAATCTTTACTCAAGCTAACGATTTAAATGTTAATTGCATCCAAAAATACCCGCACAGAAACACCCAGAATAATATTTGACCAAATATCTGGCCCCCCTGTAGCCTAGCCAAGTTGACACGAAAAAAATCAACCACCACAGTGCCCAAGTGGCATTTTTTGTTTGCTTTTGTATAGTTCTTAAATAAAAGTTTGTATTCCTTGTTTGGTGTGTTGTTATTTTCATTATGAATGAGAAGTTGTAGGAAAAGGCTTTGGGATGGTAAGAAAAACACATTATGGAATTGGTTTCCAAACAGCCTCGAATCCACCCAAGCAAGCTTTAACCACAATTAAAAACAAAGCTACAGTTTTATTTCTGAGTCTGCCTTCTCAGCATTTTATTTAAATAAATTTACAAACTAATAGTGTATGTGGGATATTTGTATTTCACTCGTCCATATTCAGTTTCAAACATACTTTCCTGAATATCATAATCTTAAAACTCATATTGTCCATACTGGCTGCACCTAAGGAAACTTACCAGCGGGAAAAAGATCTGATATTTGTGGAGGCAGAAGCTTGATATATATTAACTCATTCGAACCTTACAACAATTCTGCCAGGGATTTTATAGGGGAGGAAAATGGTGCTCACAATGGCTAAGTGATAGCACTGGGACTATAAATCTGGGTTATCTAGCTACGAAGACAATATTCTTTATACTGAAATACCGGGTGGATATGAGAAGCCTGTAGAAATCTAGCTTACCTATTCTATTAGACCTTTTTTTTTCTTTTTTTTTTTTTTTTTACTGAAAACAGAAAAAAAAAAGAAATCCTAATCCTGGATGAACATTAGTTGTCTTGTTCTGTCGGGACTGATGAATCACTGTCAGGTTTAACTATGTAGGTAGGACCTGGAAAAGTCCCTGTGCAGGGCCGCTGGGCGACCTAGAGGTGGCTCCTTGGACAAGGAACGTGTAGCTTTTCTGACATGAAGGACTGAGTTAGTCGATCTTTAAACTCCCTTCCAGTTCTACAGTCCTTTGATTTTAAATTATGAACTTCTATGAACCTCGAGTGAGGCACGAGACTCTAGGCTTTGTGGGATGTCTACAGGAAGGACAAGAGTCATCAGCTCAAAGTAAAGAAAAAACTCTGAGTTCATGACCCCTTGGAGGTCATGTAGGTTAGCTCTATCTCTTCTACAACTTCCCAGCTCGGTGGCCCTCCACGATGAGCTTTGAATGCCCAAAGCGCAGAAGGAAATCTGACAATCCTAGAAAGAAACCCAATCCCCATCGTGGGGTTCCCTATCTTGGCAAATTTCTCCAAGTCTAAAACCTTTCTCAGGACTACAACACCCAGCAGGCTACACCCAAAGCCAAAGCTATTGGTGGTCCCTCCTGGGTTTCTTCCGTTGTGGCAGCTAGTGAAGCCAATAGAAAGGAAAGGCAATTCTGACCAACCAATCCTGGAGGGGTAAGGCGGGTCCTTTCTAGATTCCGGCTCCGGCTCCTCCTCCGGCCCACCGAGGCGGCGCTGTCCCTGACCGAGCTGCGGGAGCGAGGTGGGTCTGGGCTGGGCCCGAGGTCGCGGGGTTAGGCGGACATGGCTTCGCTGGGGACACTGAGCTTGGCCTCCTCCCTCTTTTTAGGGAGCTAGAAGCTGTGGCTTTGCTCCTCCGACCCAATAGGGGCCCTGTGATTCCCGCTGCCCCGACCCCTGTACCCCTCCCTCGGCCCACGCGCCCGGCTGCTGGCCCCAGCCCTTACCCTCCGGCCCTTCTCCTGTTGGCCTTTTGAGTACTCCAGCCCTCCTGCCACTGACCATATCTTTGGGGTTAGCTCCTCCTCTCCCATCCCTCTGGCCCCAAGCCGGCCGGTAACTCCGAACCCAGCTCCTGTCCTCCAGAGCGCTCTTACCCTCAGACTCCACCGTCAGCTTCTCCCCTATCCACAACACACACACCAGCCTCTTGGGCCCCGGTTCCCTGGAACCTCTGATTGGCAGCGTTTGCGCCCTGTCTCTTGACCATTTTCTCGGATCCTCTGACTCCTTTGGTTCTCCTCTACCTCTGACCCGTTATCCAGCACCCCATACAATTCCCTCTTCTTCAACATCTTGCCTCTGGTCTTTCCAAGGCCCTCTACCCAATTCCTCCCAGCAGTTCTTGACTTGACCCTAAAGAACCGGAACTTTGGCCCTTCAGACCAACTTCCAGCTTGGTCCTTTCCATCTAGCCCAGGCCTTTGGCCTTCAGCATCTGACTAGCCCCATCTTCTTGGCTCTTACTTTTTAGACCTGGCCTCTTCTCCACTGCCTGAATCCCTTTCACCCTTGGTCCCTCTTGTATCTTTGAGCCTTCTGCGAACACAAACCAGATGGGCTCCATTGTTCCCGAGATCTCTGAAATGTGATGTGAAAGTGCCTTCTGTACCTTACCTGCCACTTTCTTTCCCTTAGATAATGGGTTCTCCGTCTCTGAGTTCCAATCTTGTTCACTCACCCTCCCTGCTCGAACATCACCTTTTCCATGAAGCTGCTCATCCCCAATCTCTTCAGGGAGATATGCCTGTGTCATCTGAATTCCCATGGCACTGTTTTTTCTTCCTTCCTTCCTTCTCTTTCTCCTTCCCTTTATCCCTCTCTCTCCTTCCAATACTACTGTGGTGCATAAAAGCATTGGCTTTGCAATGATGGACATAGATCTCAGTTCTGCCACTCACTTTGCTGTGTGCCCTTGGACAAGTTATAATTTCTCTGTGCCTCAGTTTCCTCATTTCTAAAATAAGTTGTGAAAATGAAACGAGATGATTCATATATACTGTTTAGTTCAGGGCCTAGCACTTGGTACGATCTTAAAAAATACTATTATTATTATTGGTTCCTGTATAATCTGCCAGGTGCTGTTTGAGGCACTGAGTGGGTACAAAGGTGTTTAAGGCACAGCCCCTGTCCCCCCGGAACTTAACCTTCTACTGTACAAGTTTCTTGAGTTCATGGCCTGTTTCACTGCACTGTACCATAAACTGTTTGAGGGTGGTAACCACAATCCTAAATCTTTTCACTCTTGTTTTGACCCAGCATTCAGCCCTGGGTTGAGTCAGAGCATGGTAAGATATAGGTTCTCAGAATAGCCGGATTGGAAGTGAGTGGAGGCTGTGTAGCTCATTGCATGGAGCCCTCGGTGGGGTGGGCACAGGCGGGAAGTGAATTAAGATCATATTCACTCACACATTCAAAAACATTTGAGCAGTGGGCCTTGTGTTGGGTAGAGATTACCAAAATAACCCAGTCCCTGCCCTCAAGTTGCTTGTAAACTATTAGTGGAAACAGACGTAAACAGATAATTGCAAATTACTGTAAAAGTAAGTACAAGATTCTGTGCAGGCATAAAGGAGGAAGTGGGCAGGAATCAAGAGATTGCTGAAGAACAGTGAGTGGCAATGGGCACAAGTAAGCATGAAATAAGTTCTGGAGACAGGCCATGCCTTCATTTATTCAACTCATTCAGCACGTATTCATTAAGGATCTACTCTGACTGCCACTACTCTAAGAGTTTGGGTTACGTTAGTGAATAAAACAAAGACTCTGGCTCTCATGGGACGTAAGTTTTAACAGAGAAGACAGACAATAAATAACAGACATAATAATTGGAATGGTAGAAGGTGAGAAGTGCTGTGGAGTAGGAGGACTGGGAGTGTGGGAGGGGTTTGTAATATTTAAAAGCATGGTCAGGGATCAGTGAATAAATATCAAAGAATAAATCATTTCTGGCATTTACTTGCAGTTTGAAAATGAAACAAGCCAATTATTTTTCACATTGCTTATTTAGATTCTTCAAGAAACACTTTCTAATTGATTTGTTTTAAATAAAGTTTTATTGGTACATAGTCACACATTCATTTATATATTGTTTATAGCTGCTTTTACAATACAATGTGGCATAGTTGAGTAGCTGCAACAGAGACCCTATGGCCCCAAATATTCATTCAATATTTACTATCTGGCCCTTTACAGAAAGCTTGCCGACTGCTACTTCTTAAAAATTTGAGGCTCTTTCCATATTTTACAATTTAGATTATATACAGTCTTGTACCATTTTACAATTAAAAATTTTTTTTTTTCCTAAGATCACATAGGGATCTTTTTCATTCTTGTATTCTCTACAGGGCTGGGACATAGTGTCTTCAACAAATGTAATAGTGGCTGCCATTTGCTGAATGACAAGTACATGCCACACACTACAATGAGCATATTCTAGGCATTTTCTCTAACACAAAGTCCTGCAGTGTAGGTTGGTGTCACAATTATAGTGATGTGGGAGTTGAGGCTCAGAGTGGTTGAAAAATTTGCAGAGTTATAAGGGTAGTTTTTGTCACCATTGGGCTCCAACCTAAATGTCATTAGTGCCCTTCCATTACTCGTTTTCTAAAAATACTTGCCGACGTGAAGGAATTACTAATCTTTCCTTTTCTATCATCAATGTCCTATCATATCTGTGCTTCCTTCCCTTATCCCCTTGTTCACGTCCCTCTGTACAGTATCTTCACCAGCCCACTCTGCCTTTTGAAATGTCAGTATTTCTTCAAGGCCCAGAGGAACACCACACTCTCCTCTGATCAGATGTGCTTTTTCCCCTCATTCCTCGTTCTTGGCTGTAGGACCTTAAAGGAGTCTGCAGCTTAGCAGGCATTTATTAATGTTTGCAAAAAGAAGGCCCAGTGCTGGTCCCTGTGTGTGTGTGTGTGTGTGTGTGTGTGTGTGTACGTGGCATGTAAGTGTGTGGTTGTGTATGGTGTGAGAGTATAGCTATATATGTGTATGGTGTGTGATTGTGTAGCCATGTATGTAGCTGTATGTGGGAGGGCTGTGTATGGTATATTTGTGTGATATGTATGTATATGGCTGTGTGTGCTGTGAGAGATTGTGTGGTGGTATGAGTGTGTGTGTGTGTGTGTGTGTATGTGGCTGTGTATGTGTGCCTGAGTGTGGTATTTATGTGTGTTGTGAGAACGTGGCTGTGTGGTGTGTGAGTATGGCGTGTGTGTGTGCATGTGGTTGTATACAGTGTTTGAGAGGGGAAGTGTACTGATCAATCAGAACAGACACAGCCCAGGCCCTGCAGTAGGTCTTGGAGGTCTCAAGTGTTACTCTTTTAGTTGTTGTGAGGTCTGGGGAAGGGAACGGTGGCAGAACACTTAAGAAGATTCAAAGCTGGGCCTTGTAAACAACTAGGAGAGCTTCAAGAATTAGAGGTTCTGTTATATTCATTTTGAAAGCAGGCAAAACTTTTAAAGAAGGTTTTTCAAAAAAGATCAAGAGGAGTTTCAGTGAACAATTAGGCAGTAAAACTAAACTCATACTAAAATGGAAGCTCCTTTACTTACACTTGAATTATAGTCTAGACTGTTATTGCTTAGTGGTATTAAGAAAAATGATAATATTCAGATTGCACAAACATCATCTGTTGGTGGCGGATAAAGCAGTGCCTTCTTTTTCTTCTGGTTTGGTAGCTTTAAATATCTGTGGAAGTTTGTCACTTGCAAGTTAGTAGGAAAAGGCATTCTATGCAAGCATTCTAGTTAATTGAGGTTACTTCTGATAAATGGTTCCATGGGGAAGGTGTATGTCCCTCCAAACAGAACAAAAGGTTTCCTGTGGTCAGGCCTGACCTGAGGAATAAAGGTGTTGGCCATTTGTGTTCATTCTCAGGGTTCAGAGATGGGCAGTGAGAAGGAGCAGAGTCCAGAGCAGCACCTGCCTGAGGAAGGGGAACGGGGTAAGCCTTGGCGAGTGGATGACTCAGAGAGTTTTCGGATCCCGGATGGGGAGAAAGAGCATGGGCAGGAGAGCCAGTCTGAGGGGCCACAAGGGATTCATCCAAAAAAGCCATGGCAGAAAGTCACTGTCTCTGCTGGAGAGCCAGGGGACCCGATGGCTCATCCAAGGTTGGAGGCGGATGAGAAGCCTTTTATATGTGCCCAATGTGGCAAAACCTTCAACAATACCTCCAATCTGAGAACTCACCAGCGGATCCACACTGGCGAGAAACCTTATAAGTGTTCTGAATGTGGCAAGAGCTTCTCCAGAAGCTCCAACCGCATCCGGCATGAACGGATCCACTTGGAAGAGAAGCACTACAAATGTCCCAAGTGTCAGGAGAGCTTTCGGCGACGCTCTGACCTCACCACACACCAGCAAGATCACCTGGGCAAGCGGCCATACCGCTGTGACATCTGTGGCAAGAGCTTCAGCCAGAGTGCCACGCTGGCTGTGCATCACCGGACCCACCTTGAGCCAGCGCCATACATCTGCTGTGAGTGTGGGAAGAGCTTCAGCAACAGCTCCAGCTTTGGGGTGCACCACCGCACTCACACAGGCGAGAGGCCTTATGAGTGTGCCGAATGTGGGCGGACCTTCAGCGATATCTCCAACTTTGGAGCACACCAGAGGACCCACAGAGGGGAGAAGCCCTACCGATGCACTCTGTGTGGGAAACACTTCTCTCGGAGCTCAAATCTCATCCGTCACCAGAAAACACACATGGGAGAGCAGGCTGGGAAAGATTCCAGCTGAAGGAGAATGAGGGAGAGAACGAGAGACTCCAAACTAGTGTAGGAAGATCGTTAGGATCTGCTGCTACCCCCTTGACCTCAAGCCCTTCGTCCCACTTTGGAGAATGGTTTCCTGTTGCCTGTGAAGCCAGGATCTCTAGGAAGTTCTGAGAAGGGACTCCGAGTAAAAATCCTTGTTCCTTTCCAGGCCAGTTTCTTGTCTCAGAAAGTCAGAGGATCTGGTCTTCGCTTCATCTCCTTGGGGTGAAAGAGAAATAGGGTAGGCTTAGTACATGCTCATATAGTTAGGGTAACTGTCCCTGGCCTTTGAGAATGTACCTGTGAATGGGCATCACTGTATGAAGGTCCTCCAAATTGTCTATGAACTGTTTAGGGCACACTGCAGTGGCCTGCTAGTTGCCATCTGCTGTGCCCCAAATGGGCTGGGAGGAGCAGACTTCTCAATAGAAGGAGCCTCCCTGGCCCAGAGAAGAAGTCTGAGGTCCTGCCTTAGGAATGAAAGAGAAGCCCTTAGGGAGCCATGATCCAGGAACCTTCACACTCCCCTATGTCTGTGACTTGTTATCCCCATCCCAACTTGCATCTGTTCCCCAAGTGATTAGCAGTAAAACCCTTCAATGAAAAGGACCTGTGTACTTATTTGGGGGCATCACAGACGTGGGGTGCTGGGGAGATGGTGTTTCTGCAGCTACCCTCTAAGGGAGTTGAATTTCAAGACAGACATAGTGGATGGTTGCTCTGGAAAGGAAAAGAAGGCAGGCTGAGTCTCTAGGCCTTTGAGAAGGGAGGATAAAGGAAAGGAAGCGACATTAATTGAGCATCCACTATATGCCATAGATTCTACCGGTCACATTTACATTTTTTATTTCATTTGTCACAGCAACCCTCAGGGAATAAGATGAGGAAAGGTAAAGTCACTTGCTGTGAAGTCACACAGCAGGTATGTGGTAGAACCAGAGTTCAAACTTGGGCCTCCCTTGATTCTGAGCTGATGCTCTTTTCACTACATTGACCTTGTTGACTTCTGAAGAAGGAGCAGCTTAGAGGGCTGGCCTGGGACCAAGTGATTGCCTGGAGGTGGAAGCTAGTATGGCCTCTTGATTGGGCCCTGGACCATTTGCTGTGTGGGAAGTTAGTGCCAACTTTTTCAACTTTATTGATAGAGCACTTATTCTGAGCCTAGGAAAAATGACTGTGGCAGGGAGTAGGGGGTGAGGGGTGGGGGAAGATGAACCCATAATGTGAGTCTTTGCCCTTAGCAGCAATAGTTTAGTTTCCAAGTCTGAGACAAGTTGGCAGGATCGTGCCTGTCTTCCTGCCCTGGTTTAGGCCTGGCTTCACATGGCAGATTTCAGTGTTTTCTACATGGAAGTTTAGTGTTCACCCAGATTTCCTCCAACAAATATAAAAGACTCTCTACTTCTTACCATTCTGGGGTCCTGCTCCTCCAGAGTAAGGGACCCTCTTCATTTGTAGCTAGCTGACAGAATGTGAATCTGGCACCAGGCTTGGAACTGACACCACCCATGTGACTTGACCTATCGCATGGGACCCTGCCACTCACCTACATCTTCTTTACACTCATCTTACTGAATTCTCGAAACCACCCTGAAGTTAGAATTATCTGCATTGGATAGTTGAAGAAACAGGTTGATAGAAAGTGACTTACCCAAGATTACATGGCACGTAAATGGCAGGATCAGGAACTGAAATTTCTGCCCAAATGAAAAGCCTGTATTTTTTTCAACTATAAAAGAAGCCTTCCCAAATGATTCTCTGACATTGGTAGGAGACTTTACAGTTTACAAAGCACTTGATTTCAGAGACATTTTCCTACTCCTTGAAAATCTCAATTCAAAATACTTTAAACATAGTAACCCAAACTTGCATGTATGAATTCCCACACTCCCTAATAATAAAAGTTGCCATCTATCAAACATCTGCTGAGCACCAGTTATTGTACACCTATTACCCTTTATAACTGTCCTGCAAGGTAGCAGTATCCTCATTTTCAAGATAAAATTCCGAGAGGTTAAATGACCTTATCTAATAACTGAGCTGGGATTCAAATCAAGTATGTCTGATTCCAAACCAAGCTCTTCATTATTTATACCCATGACCAAGCTAGGTGTGTTGTTCTCCTCTTAGTCTGGGGAGATTGGTATCATCATCCTTCCAGACTTAGAGCCTTCGTGACAACTACTGTTAACTTTTTGGGACTCTCTGCTGCCAGTAAGACCCCGGACCAATGCACCAGGCAATCTGCTTTGATCATGGTACATAACTTGCCAGCTAATCTCATTCACCCTTTTTGGACCAAGTTCATAGGCTAGGATTTCTGTGTTGTCCAGACATGTGAGTCTTGACTAGTCCATTTATTCACTCTCTGACTTCCTTGTTTAATTTCCTTTATTTTCTCCTTCATTCCCTTTTCCTCTTCCCTTTCTCTCTTTTCACTCCCCCCGTTTCCTCCCTCCAAGCTACTAGGAAGACTGACAATGAGAACTGGCTCCTATGTTCTGAGTGCAGAAGGTGTCCGGGGAACACAGGTCAAAATGGTTAACTCTGGAAGGGGAGGAGAAGGCTGAATGATGACTGAATTTAGTCTTGAAGAATGAACAGGGTTTACTGAGAAGAAGGGAAGGCTTAGTGTTTTAGAGAATGGTGAAATGTTTGATGTAGTTGAGAGTGTCCTGTATGAGGAGCAGATGGGACTGGCAACGTAGATGGAGGCCAGATCACGAAGGGTGTTAGATGCCAGGATAAAAAATTTGAGACTGTACAATAGAGAATTTAAAGCAGGGGAATGTCATGATCACATTCATCCTTTAGGAAGAACATTCAGGTTAGTGTGGAGGGTGAACTAAAGGGGGTCAAGTAAGCAGGTACCAGCTGGGGCTCTTCTGACCCACAGAGATCTCTGTATGATTGCCTCACGGCCAATTACACAGAATAGGAGAGTCCAAATCCTCCACACAATTTCTATAGGTTCCCAGGTCTTATGCTTTTATGGTCTCTTGCCCGAGGTTCAAGCCTCTGTTTTGTCCCCATTAGCCCTATCACAAAACTAAGCACCTTTACTGGCTTTCTTGAGAAATTCTGTCACACCAAGCATTTTGTACGTTTAGAATCCTTTTGAGAAATTGGGAATCTTGGGGAGGGGTTACATGTTACGAGCTTACTCTCCTCTCTCCTTCTATTTCTGCCTTCACCTGCTCTCTCCCAGAATGCCCTGAGAACTCTAGGTTGTTTTACTGTATTATAAAAAGCTGTTTAGCTTTCCTCAGCCCCTGATGCCAGTTTGCATACACAGACACATCTAGGAGCTCAGCAGAACAAAGCCCTCACCATTTAACAGCATACACCCACCCCATAAAGCAGTTGCAAAAATAAAAAAAAAAAAACTCTTGGAGATTTGCAAAGCATGTAAACATTAAAGTTTCAAGACAGTAGTCTGAACACAAGTGATTGACTCTCTTTCCTTCTGAGACCCCATTAAAACAACAGAAAAGGAGTATAAACATAGCAAAGAGGACGGCAGGGAAGACGGGTGGCAGGTGCAGAGACTTCAACAAATTTCTAGAAGCAGATGACATACATTGATGGCTCAGAAGAATGAAGGAAGCCATAGCTTAGATGCTGGCAATGGAAATGCGAGCCAGTCTTCCTGGCAAAATCCCAGAGAGTCTGCGAGTTCAAAATTAGAAAGTACTAAGGGCAGACATAAAAAGTGGACCTAGTCTACGGCCATGCCACCCTGAACACACTCAATCTCATCTGATCTCGGAAGCTAAGCAGGGTTGTGCCTGGTTAGTACTTGGATGAGAGACCACCTAGGAATACTGGGTGCTGTAGGCTTAAAAAAAAAAAAAAAGTGCATCTAAAAACTAGGGAGTTTATAGAAGTCTGTCTATGCAGAAGCTTGTGCCAGTCCCCGCCCCGCTTCCCCCAGTACTCTTATCTCCAGAATGGAAACTAGCACTTACCTCCAGACACACACACACACACACACACACAGACCTCCACACACACACACACACACACACACAAAAACCCTCCCCCAAAAACCCAGAAGGCTCATTCTATAGAAATCCAATAAATCTTCAGGAAAAATCTAATGTGTTTAGTTTGGTGTTGACATCCCAGAATAAAACTTGTCATTCTGACATTTACAAACCCTCCCTCTATGCCCCCCAACTATCGCCCACCAACTTACCCTATAGTCAAGCCTGTCAGTAAACCTTATTCATTCTTCCTGTTCAAGAGGGTGGCTTCTGAGGGAAAAAGATACAGCAACAGAGGAAACAAACTCAATTACTGAAATTAATCAACTTGGTCTCTTATTTCGTAAACAGACAATCAGGAGCACCAGAATTATGTAGATAGCCAGAAGCATAAGAGAGGGGCACGATGAGTTTCTGCCATGATAAGACAGGGGCACATCTTACTGTATATGGTATCTTACTATTGCCATTGGCCATTTCCCCCCACATTTTAGCATATCTAGAATTGGGGTGGTTGAATTATTGATGCTGTTTTAGATAAATGAAATATCACATTACGAGAAAGAGATGAGGCAGTGACCTCAACAAGATGGCAGAATAAAAAGTCCAAGTCTTCACTCTCTAACAGAAACACCGACTTAACAATAATATATGGACCAAAGTACCTTAACGAGAACTCCACAAACCTGCAAGCTAGCATGGCTCAGCTCAGGTTGTTCTCAGGGTGGTGGTGGGAGCAGTGGGGAGAAGAATGGAACATGCATCCAACGTTATGGCTTTTCAGAGGGCTGCCTGAGGGACTGGTTTCTGTCTTGCCTGATCTGGGGTACTGATAGGGAGCCAAAATACTCTGGATGCCACTGAGCACAACATACTTTTGGATGTGGCTGAGTGGGCTGGCTTGGGGCTGTAGCACCAGAAAATCTGTAGTACCACAAACAGACACTGGAGGGAGCAAGAGATAAGAAAAAATCTGAAAAAAAGCGGCAACCTTAGCAACCTCTCTAATTGGGAAATTAGCCTCACAAGCTCAGAGAAGTCACATCCACCAAAAAAGTTTTCTGAGGTCCCCAGAATCTCTAGCCAGGCTGATTATTAAAGGTCTTCCCCTGCCTGAAACCAGTCTATTAAAAAACAAAAACCAAAAAAACAGGAAAATGATGCATGAACAAAATGAGGATATCAACAAAAGGAAACTTAAAAAGAATCAAACAAATCCTAGAGCTGAAGAACACAATAACTGAATTGTGAAATTCATTAGAAGGGTTCAACAACATACTTGATCAAACAGAAGAAAGAATTAGCTAATTCAAACATAGGTCATTTGAAATTATTGATTCAGAGGAACAAAAACAAAAAAGAATAAAGAAAAATGAACAAAGCCTAAGGGACTTATGGAATACCATAAAGCTGACCAATAAAGGCATACATCAGAGATATTATGGGTTTGGTTCCAGACTACTGCAATAAAATGAGTATCACAATAAAGAAAATCATAATCTTTTTGCTGGTGGAGCATCTTGCCTTCAATTTGTAAAAAAAATGCAACAACTATGAAGTTTAATGAGGCAAAATACAATACAACAAGGTATGCCTATCTATGCATTATGGGAGTTCCAGAAGAAGAAAAAGCAGGAAAGGGGCAGAGAGCTTATTTGAAGAAATAATGGCCAAAAAACTCCCAAAACTGAGGAAGGAAATGGACATCCAAATTCAAGACACTCAAAGAACTTTTAAGTATGATGAATACAAAGCAGCCCACATCAAGAAATATTATAATCAAACTGTCAAAAATCAAAGACAGAAACTTCAAAGCAGTAAGAGAGAAGCAACTTGCGATATACAAGGGAGGTTTCATAAGGTTATCACTGTATTCTCAGCAGACACCTTACAGGCCAGAAGTGAATGGGTTGATATATTCAAAGGGCTGAAAAGAAAAAAATTCTGCCAATGAATAATACTATATCTGGAAAAAATATCTTTCAAAATGAAGGAGAAATAAAGACTTTCACAGATAAGCAAAAGCTGAGGAAGTTCATCACCGCTAGGCCTGCTTTACAAGAAATACTAAAGGCAGTACTCAAGTTGAAACAAAAGGATGCTAGATAGAAACATGAAAGCATATAAAAATATACAACTTGCTGGTAAAGATAAAAATATAGACAAATGGAGAATACAGTAATGCACTGCTTAACAATAGGGATGTTCAGAGAAATGCATCATTAGGTGATTTCATTGTGCAAACATCATGAAATACACAAAACTAGATGGTACAGCCTATTATACACCTAGGCTACCTGATAGAGCCTATTGCTCCTAGGTTACAAGCCTGTATAGCATGTACATACTGTACATGTACATACTGTACAAAACAACATCAGATTAAATCAAGCACAGAGGAAAATGATGTAATCAAGAGACTCAGTAAATATGAGATGTATGAGGCTGCTGCCAGCATAACATGGCATACTGTTTTACAGCAAACTTTTTAAAATAAGTATGGAGAGTACACTCTAATGATTTAAAAGTATAATAATACATAAGCCAGAAACATAGTTATTTATTATATTATCAAGTATTCTGTATGGTACATATTGCATGTACTATAATTTCATAAAACTGGCAGTGCAAGTTTGTTTACACTAGCATTACCACAAACACATTAGTAATGCTTTGTGCTATGATGTCATGACGGCTAAGACATCACTTGGGTGGTAGCTCCATTATCATCTTATTGGTCCACAATCGTATATGCAGTCATTGTTAACCAAAACATTGTAATGTGACATGTGACTGTACTGTAATACTGTAATGTTGTTGCCAAAAGCACTTTTAATTTTAGTATAGAATTTAAAAGACAAAAGCATAAAAATAATTATAACTATGAAACTATGTTAATGGATACAGTTTATATAAAGATGTAATTTGTGACATCAGTAACATAAAGTGGGGTGGAAGATGCAAAAGAATTGGATTTTTAAAGTTATTATTGGCTTAAAACAGATTATTGTAACTATAAGTTGTTTTGTGTAAGCCCTACAGTATTCACAAAGAAAAAATACCTATAGAAGATACAGAAAAGAAAATGAGAAAAGAATCAAAGCATGCCAATACAAAAAATCAACAACACACAAGGAAAGCAAAGAGAGGAAAAGAGGACAGAGTGGCTACAGGACAGACATAAAACAATGAAAAAAAAATGACAATAGTAAGTCCTTTCCTTTTACTAATTACTTTAAATATAAATGGATAAACTCCTCAATCAAAAGACTTTGAAGTGGCTGAACAGATTAAAAAAAAAAAAAGCCTATACCCAACTACACGCTGTCTACAAGAGATTTGCCTTATATGTAAAGACACATAAATTGAAAGTGAAAAGAAGGATAAAGATTCTATACAAATAGTAACCAAAAGAGAGTAGAAGTAGCCATATTTATCAGACTAAATAGATTTTAAGTCAAAAACTGACACGAGACAAAGAAGGGCATTATATAATAAAAGGCTCAATCCACCAGGAAGATACAACAGTTATAAACATATATACACTTAACATTAGAGCACTGTAATATATAAATCAAATATTATCAGAAGCGTAGAGAAAAATGGACAGTAACACAATAGTAGTAGGATATTTCAACATCCCACTTTCGATAATGAATAACCAGACAGAAGATCAATAAGGAAACAGGACCTGAAAAATACAGTAAATCAATTGGACCTAAAAAATATAGAGAACATTTCCCAAACATCAGCAGAATACATATTCTTCTCAAGTACACATGGAAAATCCCCCAGGATAGATCAACTTAGGCTACAAAACAATTCTTAACAAAAATTTAAGAAAATTTAAATCATACCAAGTTTCTTTTCTGATTACAATGGAATGAAACTAGAAATCAGTAACAGAAGGAAAATTAGAAAATTCACAAATATGTGGAAAAAAACCCAAAACATTCATGAACAATCAATGAATCAAGGAAGAAATCACAAGGGAAATCAAAAAATATTTTGAGACAATGAAAATGAAACACTATATACCAAAATTTATGAGATACAGAAAATCAGTACTAAGAGGGAAGTTTATAGCTACATTAAAAAAATCTCAAACCTAACTTTATGCCTCAAAGAACTAGGAAAAGAAGAATAAACTAAACCCAAAGTTATCAGAAGGAAGGAAACAATAAAGATTAGAGAAGAAAATGAAATAGAGATTAGAAAAACAACTATAGAAAAAATATTTTTTGAAAAGATCAAATTGGCAAACCCTTAGCTAAACTAAGAAAGAAAAGAAGAAACGACTCAACAAAAATCAGAAGTTAAAGAGGAGACATTGCATGATGCCATAGAAATAAGAAGGATCTTAAGAAACTACCATGAACAATTACATGCCAACAAGTTGGATAACCTGGAAGAAATGGATAAATTCTTGGAGACACAACTTACCAAGACTGAATCATGAAGAAATAGAAAATCTGAACAGACCAATAACTACTAAGATTGAATTAGTAACCCAAATGCTCCCAACGGAAAAAAGTACAAAACCAGATGGCTTCATGGGAGAATTCTACCAAATATTTAAGGAAGAATTAACCCAAATTCTTCTCAAATTCTTCCCAAAAAAATCGAAGGAGGAGGAACATGTCCAAACTCTTTTTATGGAGCCAGCATTAACCTGATACCAAAGTCAGACAGACACCACAAGAAAAGAAAACTACAGAATATGATGCAAATATCCTTAACAAGATCCTAGCAAACAAATTCAACAGCATGTTAAAAGTATCATACAACATGCCATGTGGGATTTATTCCAGGGTACATGATGGTTCAACATATGAAAATCAATAAATGTAATAAATCACTAACAGATGAAGGACAAGACTCACATTAGCATCTCAATTGATGCAGAATAAGCATTTGACAAAATTCAACATCTTATCATGATAAAAACACTCAACAAACTAGGTATAGAAAAAATCTACCCTAACATAATAAAGGCCATATATGAAAAGCCCACACGGAATATTATACTTAATGGTGAAAAACTGAAAGCTTTTCCTCCAATTTTAGGAACATAGCAAGAATGCCCACTTTCAACATTTTTATTTTAATAGTACTTGAAGTCCTAGCCAGAGAAATGAGAGAGGTAGATAGACAGATAGATAAAGGCATTCAGATTCAACAGGGAGAAATAAAATTATCTGTTTACAAATAACCTGATCTTATATATAGAAAACCACGAAGAATCCACAAATAACTGTTAGAACTAATAA